AGTTACCATAGTGACCAGGTTCCAGTGATCAGCTTGAACAATTTCATATATGATTAATGTTAATTGCTCATTTTGCATGGATGACTTTTTCCGGGTTGCTGAATCGGGTGCTGCTGCCTTTGATCTGGTTGGGAATACAATCCAGTGCCATAGTTAGAAAAGTGATCGGTTTGCCAACACTGAGAGAAGATGGATTCAGATTGCTGTGAGGTCAGAGCTTGTTTCTCTTCATAAACACTGAAAGGTCAAGTAGAGTTGAGCTATCGTTGGCATCCTTGAAATGCTGTAGTAAATGTCAGACCTAAGAGATTATTATTAATCCATGACACAATGCCAAGACTTACCATTCCCTCCAAAAGATTCTTGTTGAAAAGAAATGTACCAGCACATTTAAAGAGTAGCACTTTTACAGTCAGGTAAACAACACCTTTGAAGCAAATGCCATTAGCAGTTTCCGTGGCTTTTAATGTAATTGAAAAAATGACGCATTCAGGGCCTGTCCCCAAGGAGTTTAAATATCAGTGATAGCTCTGAAAAGTAAACCCCAGGTCATTATTACAACCCACTTCAGGAATCCAGGGGCAGTGGTCATTACGAGTTGCTCCTAGCACTCCCCTTAAGTGCCATTGTATCCTCAGAAGTTGGCTCATTTGTCCTGGAATGTTGCAAGGGTTTCTTTAAAGAGGATGGCATGACTTGTGATTCCTCACTAAATCATGTGTGACCATATGATTTACATTTAATATCTTCAAAGCTCGTGACAGCAGCCATGAATTTACTAACGAAACATTTTTTTGAAACACAAAATCAATCACCTTCCTGTTACTTATGCCCTGATTCAGATACAGACGACTGATGACATGAAATAAAAATAATTGCAACAGTAAAATTTCATAATCTTAATGAGCAAAGTATCAGCAATTACAACTTCAAATAAATATATAATAGAATGCCCCTGGCTGGTGTGGCTCAGTGGATTGAGCGCCAGCCTGAAAACCAGAGGATCGCTGGTTCAATTCCCAGTCAGGGCACATGCCTGGGTTGCAGACCAGGTCCCCAGTTGGGGGCGCGCAAGAGACAACCACACATTGATGTTTCTCTCCCTGTGTTTCTCCCTTCCTTCCCTCCTTTTAAAAATAAGTAAATAAAATCTTCAAAAATATAGAATGCGTCTATTCCATTGACAACAGAAGGCCTCCTGAATGTCCCCTCTTAGGGAACTTCCAGCTCTACAAACTGTATATATAAATGGTAAGGCAACACTCTGATACAATTCACTTCAATTGCAGAAATGTGAAATGCTGTTGATATACTGTATTTCAAGTTGGGTTATTCTTTAACCTTAGGAAGCTGAGATATTATTTCATTTCTTCTAAGGAAGTTTGCAGAAAGAAGGGTCAAATGCATATCAAAATAAATTATGTTAGAGGATGACCTAGACCCAGAGAAAATCATGATTCTTTGGAATAATAGTCCCCCAAACCACCTATAAATGTTACATCTGACGATGATTCAATAAACCCGACTCCCTCAAAGATTTAGCTGAGTTATTTAATAAAAGTTCTGCTATTTTATAAGGTTGTTATCTTGTATTTCAACAAGTTTCATTTGTGGTGTTTATGGGTGATACATCCACAGAGCCATTTGGGTGGGAACTTTAGAAAAAAGCCTCTTTTATTTTACAGAGTACAAATAACCTTGTAATTAAACTGAAACAAATAATTGCCAACAAGCAATTATCATTTAATTAAAGAGTAATTACATGGTTATTTGTACTCTATAAAATAAAGCACTGCTGAAATCAGTAATGCAATCAATAATTTAACAGCAACAGGATGCGGCAAAGATGGAGCTTTCAACCTATGCTGATTAAATTGTCATCCAAAAGCCAGTTTCCTGGTTAAATCACCACATGTTTATTTGTCTTGATTAATATGTAAATATGTGCCTGATGTTAGTAGAGCTCTTAAAGATAAGAAGTATGCCAGGATCATCTGTCAAAAATGATCTTTACCAACTTTCTATGGAGTTATCTGGAGCGTTTCATCATGTTGTCAGGTTTGTCTTCTCTGAAAGGAAATGTAGGAACCTGAGTGCTAGGAATATCTTATTAGGGAGGATCGTTAGGTCTAAAAGTAAAAATAAAGCTATCGTACATTGGTATGAAGATCTATTGATTATAAAGCCCTTCCACAGACTTGATTCGAATTAATTTATTCTAGGGGCCCAATTGTTCTCCCCAAAAAGTAAAAATGAAGGCATCTGAATGTGACTTTTGCTCACTGATAAATTTAAACAAGGTGGGAGGTAGGTATCACAGGATCATCCTCACTAAAGAGCTAATCACACATTCTAAGTAATAGGTCAAACACACGTCTCTGTCAGTAGAACATAAGCTCCTCAAAGGTAGAAGCTGTTATAGGTCCTCACAATGTATTAAACAACAAACAGACCCAAACCCTTGACCTTGTCAAGCTTACATTTTAACCTTTGTGACCCTCATACCTAGCTCCAACACCAGACACATACTGAACAGGTACATAGCACATGCTTGTTTGCTGGATGATTGAATACGTGATATTGTCACTGCACATGTATGACTGCAAGGCCGGTGGCATCCACCCTTCGTTAACCTTGGACATAGTCAAATTTGAATGGATCACATTTTGAAGGCTCTCTAATGGCTGTAGAGTCCAAGACTTAAAAAGGATTATTTGATGACTAACTGATGCAACTAGCTTGAGATTCATGTGGTCAAGGAGAGTAGAGCAATCTAAGGAACATTTGCAAATTGTAGACCAATCTAAGGGATATTTGGAAATTTTAGCAACAGTGAAATATTTACCATTTTTATTAATGAGCTGATTTAATTCACCATTTGCTGGACCCTACTATGTGCTAGATACCACAAGAGTTGCTCAGGATACAGTGACACACAAAACCAGATATATGTGCTGCCTTCACGGAACAGAGCCAGTCTGATGTATTGCCTCCACAGTGCACTGTCAACAGCTGGCTCATCGTACGGAAGGAGAGGGAAGTAGAGGCGCTTTCATTCTGGAGACAGCCTGGTGGAAGTGATCGTGAACATGAAGACAGCACTGAAATACTGGTGTTAGAAAAGTATGAAGAGCCATCAGGTGCACTTGAGCAAAGTTAGTGGGCCTGAGTTCTGACAAATGGAAAGCCACAAAGAAGCACTTTCAAAAAGTACAGATTTGGTGATTATTCAGTAAGCTAATGTGCTTTCTTCTAATGACTGAATGTACCCTGAGGAATATTATTCAGTCATCTTGGGATCCTTTAAGGCATTTGAAATAAATGGCATATTCCTCTTATTACCAGTCCTTAAAAGAGTTAACTGTAACACAGGACAAGGACACACAGGATAACAACATGGAATTAAATAAACTAAATTATGGCTCAGGTACAAGTAGAAAGAGAGATAGGAGGGTCAGTTTATAAAATTGAAACATTAAATGAGAAAAACAGACTTTGTCGTGCTAGATGGATATACAATATTGATGTACAATGAAAGAAAATAACACCAGCAGTGTATGAAAAATGAACACTGGTTAACGGTACCTCTGTGTAAGGTTGCTAGAAGTTGTCTTCATTTAAAAGCAGAGTTTGTCTTACATTGATGGAGCACTTTGCTACTGCAAAGTTGATAGAGTGAGGTTCAACTTAAATTTCTTGTTTGAACTGAAAGTCATTTTTGGAAATGTTCTCCATCTGAACCTCATACATTTTTGTGGCTTGGGTTATTTAACATAGTGTCTTGCAGCATTGTGTCAAAACCTCTATTATTCAGCTTTGTAAACTGAATTCCTACTAAAAGGCAACAGCAATATCTTAGGCAACATTAGATAGTAATATCTGAAATATATTGGGTGACTTGAGAGTGAGTTGATCCTAATGTTCGAAGACTTACGTGCCTCTTCTTTGTAGTGACAGCTCCCAAATGATGCATTCAGTACACTGACTATATTAGGGACCTAGATGGAAACTAGATACTGGCTTTCTCTTTCGTTATTCTATGGATTAACATTTGCGACTACAGTTCCTGAACTGTTCACACTAGGGTGAAGAATGCGCAAATGGAATGCGTTAGGTTAATGTAAGTTTGGCCTCAACTCATCAGTTAAAAATGCCCATCTGTGAGAGAAGGCAGCCTAGATTGCGAAGGTGGCAGCTTTTGCTGGTACAGCTACTTTAGGAGATAGTTCTGCTAGTTAGGCGGGGGAGGACCGTAACAGAGGAGAGAAGGGGAAGGGCCATCAAGAAACATGAATAAAGGACCCATGGACAGAACCAAAGGGGGTAGGATTGAGGGTGGGAGGAGGGGGTAGGTGTGGCGGGGGAGAGTAGCAGCGGGAAAATGGAGACAACTGTACTTGAACAACAATAGAAAAGAATAACAAGATAAAATAAAACAAAATCACTCTAAAAAATAAAAATAAAAACGAGGGATAAAAAACTACTGAGGGTGTGGGTCCTTTGTTATGCGTATGCTCTGGCAGCTGTGGGTTTATGTTAATAAACATCGGGTCTTACTCTCCATCCATCAGCTCTTTCCCGCCCACCTCCAGCATGCTGGGCAGAGACTTAATCACTTCCCATTCTGTACAATTTTAAGTCTGTGAGTCACTATCTCAGATCTCAGTATGTGTATTAATACCAGGGATCAACTGTAGCTTTAACAGCAGCAGGTAGCTGGGCTTGTCACAACAGATAGCTGTATTGCAGAGCACTGGTTTGCAAATGTAATCTAAACTAGAAATTGATCCTTTACAGTTTTCATGTTTGTCATGTGTTCAGAAATTGAGTGGGAAGGAAAATATCGGACTTTGAGTAATCAATGAACATAGCGTTTAATATGATAAAATTCTATCACTCTTGGCAATTAAATAAGATTTAGCAGGCAAATGTAGCAAGTGACTGTATTTCCAAAAAGTGTACAATTTTAACCCGATCTTTGTTTGTCTGTTTTTCAACAGTTCAAGGCCTGGCAGGCCTCCTAAACGTTCTTTGGGAGTGTTACAGGACAATGCTCGCCTTCTGCCCCATTCAGTCCCAGGCCTCTTATCTCCAGGACTTATCACTCCGACAGGTAATAAAATCCACCCCATGATCAGCCTTGTCTCTTTATAGTGCCCAGCATTTGATGTAAACTAATATTGATCTAACTGCCTTGTCCTTCAGAGCTGTTCAAGCTCTGCTAGAGGTTACCTGATTGAGCATTTGAGTATTCCCAGTTCTGTCACTCCAGTGACTCAAATCAAACAGATATGAGTCTTTAAACAAGTAATTGTCATTTTCTTGCAGGAAAGACCTTCCAAAGCTTTATTTTCTGTCCGTATGTACGTATGCGTGGACATTTTTGTATGTTGATGAAAGGGAAAGGGAGTACCCCGGCCAAACTAGCATTGTCTCAAATCCTCCTGTTTGGTGGATTGGATGCAGAACACGTGCTTACTTATATGTCTCATTGATACATACATATGTTTTGGTTTTGAAGGGTTCTGGACATGTTTGTATGTTGTGCAAGTTATTACTTCAGGTTAAAAAAGTAGATTGTGCATATCTTGCGGAGAAACCTTACGATGAGGAAAGAAGAGAGTGCAACTTGCCTGTGTCTTAAATAATTATCCAGTGTTTCTCATTGCACACTGCAATAACCAGTGCTCCCCTCAAAATATCGGTCTCATAACTTACCATTGAATTTTTTCGATTTTCTAAAAAATAACCTAAATGCGCACAAAACACTTAAAAATAAGCATAACATTTCTCTAATTGAAGCTTTAAAAATTCTTAAATTTATTACGCAGTAGAATTCATTTTCAAGTTGGCTATCAGCAAGTTTCATCCTGGCCATTCTACTTACTGTGCATGACACACCTAACTTGCTTTAATTTTATTTAAAAATATTTTTGAGGAATTCAGTTGATATTTTTTAAAGATTTTATTTATTTATTTTTAGAGAGGGAAGGGAGGGAGAAAGAGAGAGAGAGAGAAACATCACTGTGCGGTTGCTGGGGGCCATGGCCTGCAACCCAGGCATGTGCCCTGACTGGGAATCGAACCTGCGATGCTTTGGTTCACAGCCCGGGCTCAATCCACTAAGCTATGCCAGCCAGGGCTCAGTTGATATTTTTAATATGGTTTATTACACGTTGGGAATTATCCTTTCTCTCCCACATGATTATGTAAATGCTTTACAGTAATTTCTGGTTTTAGGTCCTTATGTTTCAAAATGTTTTTGTAAAGAAAGAGATGTTATACAGCTGTGTATAATTCTACATAAAACTAGCAAATCTACTATTGATGAGTCTGCTGCCTTCTCTTTCAATGTCGTATGTGTGGAGAAGTCAGTCCCTTTGGACCTGTTAAAGATTGTCTAAATAATAGAACTTGTTCTACACGTGTTCTACATATTATCTCTTCCTATTTATAACTTGAAAATGGGGTCTAAATGTGAAAATAAAATGATGATGGTATTTCTTTTCAAATGTTTTTGTATCTTATTTTGTCTTTAAATTGTTCTTTTCTCCCCAGCAGTTGCAAACAGAAAAAAAATGCAAGTGAAAAGACTTAGATATTGTTACACTATCATCCTTAGATTTATTTAAGAAGCATTCTCAATTTCTTCACATATTTGACATGTAAATCTTTTAAAATACAGAATATTTTCTGGTATGTTATATTGTTTTGTGTGCTTAGCATAAGTGTAATTTATTTTAATTTCTATGTTATATGGTTTTCTTTCCTTTTTTTGATTTGTGGTTTTTATTTCAAAAATGTTTATTTTCTTTTTGGTTATAGTTCCCCTATGTAATGAAACCTGATTCATTCAAACTTGGATTATTGAGAATTTGAGGTAATTTAGACAATGGCTATGCTAAGGTCTGTAGTCTTAATAAAAAAAATATTTTTAGCAAGTTAAAATGACAAACAAGAAATGTTTCCGTGTGTGTGTCAATGTGCATGCGTGTAAGGCCTAAAATACTTGGGGGGTTCAAATGTACTTAGGTGTCTAAAAATTACTTTCCCAAGATCTGATTCTATATAGCTAGTCAGCATACTAATTACTGATGATAGGTCTTTATTCACTAAGATAGGACTCATAGGATCTATTCTTGACAAGACTGTCTGATATTCATTTAGATATTATACCTAGGTAACTACAGAATCTATCTCTGTCATCTGTATCTCTAAAGATACATGCATTCTTTTCATTTCACACATAATTGCTGAACATCTACTCTGCACCAAACAGCATGAGAAAAAATTGTAACCTGTTAAAATAAAATTCATTTTGTGAGTCAGAGTTTTCCAAACTCCTCTTCAGTCTTTCCCCTACTTATGCCAAAATGATGAGGTTTCACTGGGTTTTGCCTTCTTATGCTGAACCGCTGATTTTCCCATCTCTTGTTCGTGTCTCTGTTCCTGCTGTGCGATCCATATCTTAATTCCCCTAAAGCACATTATTACAGCATAATCCCATTATATAGTATTTTCTGTAAAAATCTTTTGGGCCATAGCGGGAGAAAAAACAGGAATATCCTCCCCATTTTCCTCTGCAGCTCTGTAGAAGTGCTAATGTTCTGGATCACACAGAAAGGATGGATTAGTCGTGTGAGCCTTTGAATTTCCCCAAAGAGGACTGCTCCTCTTGCCTCAGCTTATGAAGCATTTCAAATAGACAGATGTGGAATTTGGCCTGAGAGAGATTTAAACTGACAGCTTACAAGGAAGTAATAAAGTGCTTCAGATGAAACTCCTGTAGTGTTCATTCCTTAAAAGGTAGCAGATCCTTCAGCTGCTTTTTTTTTTCTTTGAGGTTTATTGTAGCAAAATATTTTTAGGAATTTCAGCTGCTGTCCAAGCCCCTGGGTAACTGAGGCCGTGAAGATCCAATCCAGTAATAGTAGCGACATCACTCAACTCAGGATTGGCAGAACCATAAGCAGAATCCTGCCAAGTCTTGGCAGTGTGATGTCAGTTTCATGATATGATATAACGCCAATGAGTGCGATCGCATCATTGGAATCAGGGTCCTTTGCTCTTTGCCTTTCCTTTTCTCACTCAGTGAGTTTGGATGCTCAGACACGGTCACAAGGAGGACACAGGAGTCCTAGGCCATTCTTTGTTGATTGTAAAAAGGAGATACCAATCTAGAAAAATAACACCAAACGTTTTGATGGTTGACTTAAAACATTTCTGTCTCTGTGACTATCTTTGGGTTTTTAAATGAGCAGTATTGTAAAATGTGCTTCATGTCACACACACACACGGTAACTGCTTTTATGCCATTGCACTGTATGTATTTTATGAAGAAACATTGGCTTCACAGGACCCAGAGGTTGAAATACTAATGGTTTGTAACATGAAGTGGAGTTTAGACTAACATGTGGTTATAGTTTGTCTACTAAATAAAAAGTTTAACTCTATCAGTTTAACAACAAGAAGTCCATTCTTAATATTGATTGAATATGGGTTTCACAAGTGCCCATTGCCATGTTCATGTCTGTCAGTGCTTTTTAAACATGTGTTATAAGTACGTCAACCTAAAATGTCCCCGCCCAATTTTCTGGACATATGCCAATCATTTTCGTCTTGCGTGGGTTGTTTGTAGAGCAGAAACCATTGCTTATTTCCTATGTAGGTGGAGGGAAAGCTTATAATTCAAGCAACCCTCATAGGATGATGACGGCGATGATGAGGATAATCTCTGTGGTGTTTTTTAAAAGATGTTATTTATTATTTTTAGAGAGAGAGGAAGGGAGGGAGAGAAACATCCATGTGTGGTCGCTTCTTGTGCATCCCCTACTGGGGACCTGGCTCACAACCCAGGCACATGCCCTGACTGGGAATTGAACTGGTGACCCTTTGGTTCACAAGCTGGCACTCAATCCACTGAGCCACACCAGCCAGGGTTTTATAGTGTTTTATAAGGCATTTACACATACGTAATGTGTGTCTAAGGGTATACATTAATTTTACATTTTATAAAGAATGATTTTCAAATGTTTTCTCATTTGATATTCTCAGTAATCCTGTCAGTTTAGCAAGAATATTTCTGATTAACAGATGCAGAAAATGAGTTTTGAAGAAGTTAAATGAGTTGCCCCAAATCTCAGAGGCAGTGAGAGGTGGAGCCAGAATTTCAAAACCCAGGTCTCTTGATCATTAATACCATATTTTCACAAATACACTGAAATATATCTTTCCTGCAAAAACTTAGTATTGAAAATTTGGGTTATAAATGTTCAGAATCACACAAGGACTGCTTAAGTTACATCTGAGAGAGAAGATGTTTGTTGTTTCAAAAGTAGAAAATTCTTGATATAATTCATGTAGTTGACTGTTGGTGATTACATAACTTCAATAAACAAAACTCCAAACTTTCCTTTCCTTTTTTGATTATTCTTATAGAAGTGTATGGTGTGCGGCAGCTAGTATAATTAGATGTGGCTGTACTTTTTCTAAGAAATTAAAAAAAAAATAACTTCTGGATGATTTCATCCTACTTTTCCTGTAGAGAAAGCTAGCAGTTATAAATTGTTCGTCGTGACAAGTCTTGAGTGAATTACTTTGATATATGTGACTAATGAATTAATATGATTAAGTTAATGAGAAATAGAAATGTTGCCAAACTCCACTAGTCCGGCTGTAATGCTGCTCCGCATTTACCGTTCTAGCTTCCTCCTGTGTCGAGAGGATCGCTGATGACTACACACTGTCATTGTGATAAATGACATATCCCACAGTGCCCTGCTTTCCATCTGGTCAATCCTCAAACCATCCCCAAACGAGAGATCTCAGAAAAACCACGTAGTCACACGCCAAGTCTGCTGGATTATAGCAAGCCACATTTGCATCTCCAAGGCCCTCCCCCCAGCCCCATCTCCCCATCATACACAAGGTACAGGCAGTGAACTACGCAACTGTACACGTGTCACTCACTCAGTGTCTATTCTTCATGCTGGCTGGCTTTTTCCCAAGGGAGAAAGTACGTTGAAACAGCACAATAAAACCTTCCATTGTGCAATATGCCTCGGGGATGATAAGCTGCCTTGTCACTATTCTTTTTCGGAGGCGGTGGACGGC